CAGGCTGAGGCTGAGGCAGGCCGAGGCTGAGGCAGGCTGAGGCTGAGGCTGCGACTGCGACTGCCGTTGCCACTGCGACTGTCATCGCGAATGCGACTACGACTGCGAGAACAGCAGAATTCTACAACTGGATTCTCATCCGAATCTTAAGGGGAATGCTTCCAGATATGCTCCTACACATCGATGTTAGGTTGCTTTGCCGGGATAATTTGCAATGCTTGGCGCTAAGGCGAGAGCCACATTTTGAAAACGACCCGCCCTTCTTCCACAAAATTCTTTACGCTTCGCGCATCCCCACCAGCCCATCTCACAGCAGCAACTCTCGCGAAGCATGCCGACAGTCGTGTTTTTCAGGCGTGTGTCCGCTTGGCCCCGCATTGTGTGTGAGTCGTTCGGGCTCCTCGTGGTGTGAGTCGTTCGGGCCCCTCGTCCTGGTGTGCGTCGTTCGGGCCCCTCCTGGTGTGAGAGTCGTTCGGGCTCCCTCGTGGTGTGAGTCGTTCGGGCCCCTCGTCCTGGTGTGAGTCGTTCGGGTGCTTCCTTGCGTGTCAGTCTTTCGGGCTCCTCGTGGTGTGAGTCGTTCGGGCCGCTCGTCCTGGTGTGAATCGCTCGGGCCCCTCCTTGTGTGTGAGTCGTTGGGCTTCTCGTGGTGCGAGTCGTTGGGGCCCCTCGTCCTTCCCTGTATGAGTCCTTCGGGCCCTTCATTGTGTGTGAGTCGTTCGGGCTACTCGTGGTGTGAGTCGTTCGGGCCCCTCGTCCCGGTGTGCGTCGTTCGGGCCCCTCCTTGTGTGAGAGTCGTTCGGGCTCCTCGTAGTGTGCGTCGTTCGGGCCCCTCGTCCTGGTGTGAGTCCTTCGGGTGCTTCCTTGCGTGTGAGTCGTTCGGGGTCCTCGTGGTGTGAGACGTTCGGGCCGCTCGTCCTGGTATGAGTCGTTCGGGTGCCTCCTTGTGGTGTGAGTCGTTCGAGCTCTTCGTGGTGTGAGTTGCTCGGAGCTCTCGTCCTGGTGTGAGTCGTTCGGGCTCCTCGTGGGGCCTCTTGGGGGCCTCTTGGAGCCTCTTGGGGCCTGTTGGGGGCCTCTTGGCGGCCTCTTGGGGGCCTCTTGGCGGCCTCTGGGGGCCTCTTGGGGCCTCTTGGGGGCCTCTGTGGAGCCTCTGGGGGCCTGTTGGGGGCCTCAGGGGAGCCTCTTGGGGGCCTCCTGGGGGCCTCTTGGAGCCTCTTGGGGCCTCTTGGGGGCCTCTTGGGGGCCTCTGGGGAGCCTCCTGGGGGCTTCTTGGAGCCATCTGGGGACCTGTTGCGACCTTCTCAGAAGCGCAAATGAGCGCTGCCCCCTGAAAGAAACAAAATGACGCCAAAACCGTAGTAAAATCAATGATTTTGCTGTGAAGAAAGATGATCGCTGGCCCCTCAGAAGGCCAAAATGGGGCCGAAACCGTCGTAAAGTCAACGTTTTTGATTTCAAAGACGAGGAGGGGGGCCAAACGGTGCCCCCCCGTCGGGGCCAGAATCCTTGTGAGGGTCGTCGTTTTTTAGCCCTCCCAGGAGTCGAAAAAGACCCCTCCAACGACCCGCGGGGCCCCCTCTCCAGGCCCAGGGGGAGGGGGTAGGGGGAGGGGTAAACCCCTCCCCGAAGGGGAAGAAGGGGGGTTGGGGGGTTGAAAACAGAGAGAGCTCCCTAAACCACTCACGCCCAAAGGGCTGGTGGGATTCTTGCAATAGTTTTGTTTGTATGTGCACGGCGCCAAAGCGAGAGCCACATTTTGAAAACCACCCGCCGTTATTCCGTGAAGTTCTTGCAATTTTGTTGCACATTTTTTTTTGGCGCTAAGGCGAGAGCCACATTTTGGAAATCATCCGCCCTCAATCCGTGAATCTCTTGCAGGGTAACAAAAAAACGAATGTGCGCGGCGCTAAAGCGAGAGCCACATTTGGGAAACCACCCTCATTCAATCTTTTAACTTCTTGCGAATGTTAAAAACCAATGTGCGCGGCGCTCAGGCGAGAGCAGCCTTTTGAAACCACCCGCCCAGAATCTGCGGAACTCTTGCAAATTCTGAAAACGAATGTGCGCGGCGCTGAGGCTAGAGCCACATTTTGGAAGCAACCCGCCTTCCATCTGCGAAGTGGCTGCCAATTTCCAAGCTTCAGCATCATACATGGCGAGGAAGTCTCCAGCGAAACGCCTGGCCCGCCCTTTCGACCAGCCTCGGGGTGCGACAGGGAAGAGTTATTTCCAAGGAGAAGCAGTAGAGAGGATGACGGCGAGGAGAAGGAGAAGAAGGGGAGGAGGAGGAGATGGAGGAAGAGGAGGAGGAGGAGGAGGAGGAAAAGGAGGAGGATTGGGGCCCATTCGTCCCCTTCGTCAATGGAGGATACCCCTCAATGCAATTTCAACTTTCGGGAGAAGGGCCCTGGAGGTCTCCGGAGGTCCCCGCGAAGGTCTTAGGAGCCCCTTGGAGGCCTCCGGGGGCTTCGAGAGCTTCCTGAGGGCTTCAGACACGGGCCAGGAACGCGCAGATGCTTCAATCCTCGACTGTCGCAGGCGAGACTTCGAGTAGTAGGAGGAGGGTGAGGAGGAGGAGGAGGAGGAGGAGGAGGAAGAGGAGCAGGAGGAGGAGGAGGAGCAGGATGAGGAGGATGAGGAGATGGAAGAGGAGAAGGACCAGTGCAAAACCCACGACACATCAGTGATCGGAGGTTGGGGGGTGAGAATGGAAGTGGCCCCAACCGGGAAATCGGTTTCGGTTTCGGTTCGTGTCGTGCGTGCGGGCGAGGCGAAGCTGCGCGAGTTCTTGCACTGGTAGGGGCCTTCTATTTCCAACAGGGCCGCCCCCCGAGCGCTGGGAGTGGCCCCCGGATATCCTGGCGGTTGTCCCTGCGGTTGTCCCCATGGTTGTGGTTGTCCCGATGGTTGCCCCGATCTTTGTCCCGCTGGTTGTCTCGATGTTTTTCCCGATGGTTGTCCCGATGGTTGACCCGATTGTTGTCCCGATGGTTGTCCCGACGGTTGTCCCGATGGTTGATAGATAGATAGATAGATATATCGATGTCATTAGATGTTGTCCCGATGGTTGTCTCGATATTTGTCCCGATGGTTGTCTGGATCGTTGTCCCGACGGTTGTACCGATGGTTTTCCGGATGGTTGTCCCGATGGCTGCCCCGAT